AAGACGGGCTTCTGCAATTGTGTCATAAATTCCCAGTGACCTCCACATTTCCACTGCTCTGCCACAACTAAATAAGAGATGATGGATATCTTCAGCCCCTTGATGGCAAATCGGACAACTTCCATCAATACCAACGTGCCTGTTTACCAAGATTGATTTTAATGGGATTAATCCATGAAGGGCCCTCCAGTCGAATATTTTCACTTTTTCCGGGACTTTGAGCTTCCATAGGATTGTCCAAACTGGATTTGACATTGATGGTCCTGTTATTGCCGACAAAGATCTTGAGCTGAACTGATGTTTCCATTCACAATGGTATGCCGATCTTACCAAAAAAATTCCATTACTATTGCCATGCCAGGCTACAAAATCGTCAAATCCGTGGTGGCTTAAGGGAATCTGTAGGATCCGGCTAACATCCACTGGGTTGAATATCCCACGTATTAACTCCTCGTCCCACTGCTCGGTAACAGGATCAATAAGTTCATTGACTTTAGTAATTAGAGCACCACCCCTCTCTTCTTCCTCACAATCTCTTCCTCTCATGGTTTTGTCTCACAAGAACACACGGTAATGGAAGAAACACACACGCGCACACACACATTCACCAAGGAGAAAACTACTTTCTCCTGGTGAAAACACGTATGCTTCAATGCGGCGCAGCGGTCGGAGTTGGTTCCTCAGTATGCATCTTGAAGCGGCGGTTCCCAAGAGGCCAAGTCGGTCGGCGCCGCCCTCCCTCCCATCACACCGCACGACATGAATGTTAGCCGCTGCGTGCTCTGGGCGGCATGAATGCGGCGCGTGCATCAGAAGGAAAGCGTGGAGGGGCGGGTGGGGGTTTGGGTGGGTCAGGGTGTTGAGACCGTGACAGTGGTTCGGACGCCCGCAAAGCCCTCACTCGCCTGTTTGTCTCCGGTTTACGGGAGAAAAACATGTCCGGACCGCCTTGCGGACCGATGCAAGCCTGCGTTGGATGACTTCCACAGTCCAGACAACACGGTCCGGACGTATGCGGGCGGTTTGAGGGTGGTCGTTGGAGATGCCCTTACAAAGAAGTTTTATGAAGAGATCGAAACATGTGATGTGGAGATGAATCATCAGATTTCTCTATCCTATGGTATATGTATCACCGAGCTGCGTATATGGCTGTGGTATATAGGCAAAAAACAATCAATCCCATCTCTTCATCCAAGCCTCCAGCTCGATCTCTACGGGAGATGCAACAAACTAATTCACGTGGCAAAGACAAAATAGAAGCGCTCTTGCAGGCGCGTGAAGGTGGCTAAGCATGCAAGGTGACAAAGATTGCATGCGCGCGGTAGGAGGATGGATGCGGATGGGGCACGGACCAGAGAACGGCAGGCCGCCCATGCCTGCTTGAGAGAAGCGACGGGGAGCTTCAGCTTCGCGGCCACTGTGCGCAGCGCCATACACGAAGTGACGAAGACGAAGATAGGTTTCGAGCAAGACGAAGGAGACGTGCGCCGGCTAGGGTTTCCTTGTAACTCTCCCGATCTCGCGATCCGGCCCGCTGTTAGAACGACCACCGAACCGCCTCGGTCTCCAACTGGCCCGACACAGAAACACGGAAAAGCTAGCACCCTCGTACGAGCCGGCCCGCGAGAGAAGCCGAGTACTCTTTCTTTTTTTCTGTTTTCTCTTGTTAGCTCCCTTTTCTCCTGCAGCTAACCGTTTTCTAGTTTTTTTTCCTCTTTTCTTTTTTTCTGTTTTCTCTTGTTAGCTCCCTTTTCTCTTTTCTTA